ATAGTATAGAACTTGAGGACCTATGGGCATCGTCATAATATAGGGCTTGAAGAGCTATGGGTGCCTTCAAAATATAGCCCTTGAGTACCGATGGATACCTCTATAGTGTAGGACATAAGGACCTATGTGTACCTTCATAATATAAGACTTAAAGACCTATGAGTGCCTTCATAATATGGGACTTGAGGACCTATGACTACCTTCAAAATGTAACCCTTGAGAACCTATGGATACCTCTATAGTATAGAACTTGAGGACCTACGAGTAGCTTCATAATATAAGACTTAAGGACCTATGGGTGCCTTCATAATATGGGGCTCGAGGACCTGTGGGTACCTTTAAAATATAGGCCTTGAGGACCCAGTGATACCTTCAAAATATAGGACTTAAGGACCTATGGGTACCTTCATAATATGGGGCTTGAGGACCTGTGGGTACCTTTAAAGTATAGGCCTTGAGGACCCATGCATACCTTCAAAATATAGTCCTTGAGGGCCTACTCTGAAAAAAAAATTGGAGTTTTGCAGGGGACTATCCCTTTTCGTCCCCGGTTTTTTTTACGGACATCGGACATAGATGTGCGTTCCGAACTCCCGTTTCTTTGAAAACGACCGGATGTTCGGAATGAAAAAATCCGGAAGATCGGAACAAAAAACACTGGTGTTCGGAATGAGAGTCGTCCGGATGTTCGGAACCACATAAATCAAGGTTTTTTAGCGTTTTCGCATTCAAAAATGTATGGGTGTTCGTAATAGAAAACGTCGGATGTTCGGAATGAAAACTACTGATATACGTAATAGCAGATGACGGGTGTTCGTAACAAAATACTCCGGATGTTCGGAATAGAGAAGAACCGGTGATTCTCTGAACTTTGGTCGAAAGTAAAAATGTCGAAAGTAAAAATGTCGAAAAATAAAAATGTCGAAAGTGAAAATGACGCAAATATCGAAAGGTAGAAACGTCGAAAATGATAGATTATGAAAGTAGGAATCTCCATCAACCTCACCCCCACTCTTACATCTTCGCCTTCACCCTCATTTTGTTTTCGACATTTTTATTTTTTCGACATTTTTACTTTCGACCAAAGTTGAGATTACCGAACCGGTGTCCATTATAATATGGTTTATTTTCTTTTATTTTCTAACATAACCTTTTACAAAAAAATTCATAACACAAAAAAGAGTTATAGAAGTCTTCTTAACAACAATCATTGTACTATATTACTTTTCTTGGACATAATGACTACAGTGAGAGAGTAATTATCTTTTAGAAAAGAAAAAAAACTTTAACGTCTAGTGATTTTTTTCTGCATGTCTTGGTTTTTTCTTCTTTGAGTTCTGCTGCATATTGTCATCATCTTTTTCATCTTGTTTTCGTTTTGTTCCATCCGATGAGCTGCTCGTTGAAGATTTATGAGAATTACAAGCCAATTCTTTGGGTTACGCAAATCATCGTCTCAGCCGATCATGTTCGAGATGCTAGGCTTTTCACAATAGAGGATCTTTATTTTTACCACTTCTTTACACTCTCTATATGTAAGATTTATCGCTTACTACCGTACTCTACACTACTTAAAATATACTATATGAATGAGTTATTTTCTAGGTCAAAAAACAGATACCAAAATTCATTCCGAACATCCGTCAGTTTATGTTCCGAACATCCCGTATTTATCATTTCGAATATCTGAACAATTCTTCATTCCGGACATCCGTCACTTTATATTCCGAACACCCGTCATTTTATGTTCCGAACATCCTGTATTTTTCATTCCGAACACCTGACCGATTTTCATTCCGGACATCTGGCAAAACGATATTATGCTATATAGTCGATTCCGAACATCCGGTCATTTGCCCAGATGTTCGGAAGAGTGGGGACGAAAAAGGACCGAGCCTTTTGCAGAACCTTTTTTTGAGGGTTCTGCTGTTGGGTAAAATGCAGAACCCCCAAAAATGGTTCTGCCCGAAGAGGAGTTCGGCACTAAATTAACAAAACCATTTCTGATTTTTATTAAGAATGGTTCTGTACTGCCCATAAAGTGTTACACCATTTAAATGCTTCATCATTAAACCTTTCTTACTTTGTATCAATAGTTTCTGTACCTTAGGCGCAGTTTACTGCCACCGTATGATGTCATCTGCACTTTTATCACATACCTTAACAAGTGTACCCTTATTCTATGCCCTTACTCTATATTCTTGTTCCATACCCTTACAGCTATAACCTTATTCTATACCCTTACAACTATAACCTTATTCTATACCCTTACAGCTATAACCTTAGTCTATATCCTTATTCTATACCCTTATTCTATATTCTTGTTCTATACCCTTACAACTATGACCTTACTCTATACTCTTACAACTATAACCTTAGTCTATATCCTTATTCTATACCCTTATATCTAAATCCTTATAATTATATCAGTATAAATATAGCCTTATATCCATATTTTTACCTCTATAATCTTATAAATATATTCGTATAGCTATAGCCTTATGACTACACCATTATGTCTATAGTCTTATGTCTACCGGGTGGCCCAAAAGCAAGGAAAAATAATGGATATATTTGATAATAACTGTCGAAAGCTGTTAGTAGTATTTTTCACACCTTTTATTGATGTAGAGAGCTGAAAATTTAATTATATATACATCTAATTAAGACCTTTCATTTCTAAAAGTTTCAGCTCTCTACACCAGTAAAAAGTGTGGAAAATACCGCTAACAGTTTTTCGTCAATTATTATCCAATATACCAATTATTTTTCTTTACTTTGGGCCACCCGGTATAACTATATATCTCTATCCCTGTCGCTATACCCTGATAACTATCTCTTAGAATTATACTCTTATAACTGTATCCTTATGAGTATACCTTTATATCTGTAGCCTTATATCTATTTCCTTATGACTAAGAGGAGAAGTCACCGTTTCTCACGAGTTAAGTTATCAGGTAACCGGTAACGGAAAACTTGTGACTTTATCAATCTAACAGTATGTTTTAGAAATAACAATGTCTATAAAATTTGACCAATACCTGTCGGAGGCAAGGAATTTGAATCGCAAGACGACTTCTGGATTCTTGTGGACTTGAGAATCCCACTAGAGGAAAGATAATTTTCGAAAATAATTATATCTCATAAAGTTTAACTAGAGATTCTCAGGATAGAGCAATCTGAATTTTCCGAGTCATTTATCGAAAATTATCTGAAATCATTTTTTCTCTAGAATCGAATAAATCTGGAGAAATGACTCAGGCATTCGAATTCCCCGATCCCGAAAACCTTTAGTCGAACTTGATGAGCTATCGTTATTTTCTGAAAATAAAGCTTCCCTAGCCGATTGAAGAAAAACAGATTTCAAGTATTTCGAAACTTGACTCGAAAATTCATTAACTCTCTCCCTCTGACAACCTTTGGTCAAACTTTATAAAATATTGTTATTTTCGAAAAATAGTCTTCTCCGTGTGGAATTCTCAAGTCCACAAAATTCGAAAAGTGATGTTGCGATTCAGATTCCTCGCCTTCGAAAGGCTTGGTCAAACTTTCTGGTTATTGTTATTTCTGAAAAATAGTGGTACATTGAGAAAGTCACAAGTTTTCGTTACGCGTTATCGTTATCATGTATCGTAACGGTAACTTTACTCTCCTGTTCACAATAAGTATATGATGAAGCATTTTTTCTTTGGAAGCCCCTTTTATAGTTACGTATTTAGACTTGAGAAACTCTGATGACTTCTGCAGAACTTACAGAACCTTTTCTGGTTTAGTTTCTTTGGATAGAGCCCTTTTTATTGTTCAGCATTTTTCACAGAACCCTTGAAGGTTCAGTATTATTGGTCAGAACCCCTCGATTCATCATTTCTGGACAGAAAATATTTTATGGTTCAGCAGTTTTTTGGCAGAACCTTACAAGGTTCAGCATTTATAGATAGAGAACTTTTTGTCGGGCAGCAATAGTGTACAGAACTACTTTAGTTCAGTGTCTTTGGGTACAGAGCCACTTGGGTTCAGTGTCTCTAGGTACAGAACCTTTTATGGTTCAGCATTACTGTACAGAACCACTTTGGTTCAGCGTCTTTGCGTATGGAACTTTTTATGGTTCAGCTTTATCGGCCAGAACCTTTTAGGGTTTATAATTATCCTACGGAACTATAAATTGGTTCTGCACGTGCTGCAGAACCCAAAATAGTTCTGGAACACTCCAATTTTTTTTTCCAGAGTATGGATACCTCTATAGTGTAGGATTTGAGGGCATGTGGGTACCTTCAAAATATGGGACTTGAGGACCTACGAGTAGCTTCATAATATAAGACTTAAGGACCTATGGGTGCCTTCATAATATGGGACTTGAGGACCTATGGGTACCTTCATAATATAGGACTTGAGGACCTATGGCTACCTTCAAAATATAGCCCTTGAGGACCTATGGATACGTCTATAGTATAGGACATAAGGACCTAGAGGTACCTTCATACTATAGGGCTTGAGGACCTATGGATAGCTCTATAGTGTAAGGCGTGAGGACCTGTGAGCACTTTCAAAATATAGCCCTTGAGGACCTATGGGTACGTTCATAATATAACTCGTATAAGCTTATGAGTATGAATTAACAGATGTATTGGTTACGTTAAATACTAATTATGTTGAGTCGTAATGAAGGTGAATACTGATTAGGTTCAGTCCTAATTCGAGTGAATACTTTTTTGACTGAGCACTTATTAGGGTGAGTACTAATCAGGGTGAGTATTAATTAATTGGAGTACGATCTTAGCAATCATCGGCGGTTTTTAACAATCGCATGTAGTTTTAGTGCAGCATTGTATAAAACATGGACTGCATAGAACGGGTAAAACATGGAGGCGTAAGTGAGCTCCAAATTTGGAGTTTACGTGTGGAGTTTATTCTGTTTGACCGAATAAATAAATCAAAAAAGAATGAATACATTTGAAAATTTTCATTCTTCAATAAAAGAATTTTTCTTTTTTAATACGAGTATGGAAAAAGAAGAAGAAAAAGTCAAAGATGCATATGAACAAATAGAAAATTATCTCAAATTAATTAGTGCTACAGCTATCGAAGATAAATTACAAGATGGTGTATCTCAATGTATTCAACGTTTAGCACGTGCTGGTATTAAAATTTGGGTTTTAACTGGTGATAAAATTGGTAAATTAAATTTCTATTCAATCGATTTCTATCTTTTTTTTTGTCAAATGAACATTTCTTTTTTTTAGAAACCGCTTATAATATTGGTCTACCATGTCGTTTGTTAACAAATGATATGGAAACGTTTTTTTATTGAAGAAGAAAATGAAGATGGTGTTGAAAAAAGTTAAAAGAAGTTCGAAATAAAATGATTAGTAAAATTGAACAATTATTTGATGTCCATATTGACAATAAAGAGAAAAGACTTGATTGGAAAGATTGGAGAATTGATGTTATGAAATTTGATCAATATAGAAGAAATGATAATAATATGAATAATGGTAATGCAACAACAATGGATACAAATCCTAATGAACGTGAACAATTTGAAGATTTTGGTTTATTAATTACAGGTCAAGCATTAGGATATGCATTAAAAAATAAATTAAAAATGAAATTTCTTGAACTTGGTACAATCTGTAAAGCTGTTATTTGTTGCCGTGTAACACAATTACAAAAAGCTCAAGTTGTTGAATTAGTTATACAAAATGAAAAAAAAAATTACATTAGCTATTTCTGATGATGCTAATGATGTGTCAATGATATAAAGTATGACACAAAAAAAAAGAACAGAAAACAAAACATTTTTGTTTTATATTCAAGAAAAATAAAATTTTTTTTTTTGTAGAAGCAGATATTGGAGTTGGTATTAGTGGCCAAGAAGGTCGACAAGCTGTTTTAGCAAGTAATTATGGTTTCGAACAATTTCATTTTCTTGAAATATTATTATTGGTTCATGGTCGTTGCTCATATTTACGAATTTCAAAATTTTTACGTTACTTTTTCTACAAAAAATTTTGCATTTACGTTATGTCATTTTTGGTTTGGATTTTTTTCGGGTTTTTCAGCACAAATAAGTTAGTTCTCACTAACACAATAGAAACAATGAATTATACTTTTAAAGTATTTTCAAATAATTGAGGCTTCTCAGGCCTAATGGTTCCGCCACCTATGATCTAAACCATACGTACAAAGTTGATCTTTAATTTCGATGAAAATATCACGATTTCTAGAGCTTTTCATTCTTAGAACATTGATAGAAAAAAATTTCAAAAAGTTTTTATTTAATCCCGCAAGAGATTGTGCTAACAACTTTTTTCAGGTCCACTTCCATAAAAACGTGGATCCTTCAGCTCCCTAATGCTTATTCATTTATGTAAGATGAAGAAGAAAACAACAAAAAAAGAGCTAATTATAATATATCAATTGATTTCTAATCGTACTATATAATTATAATGCAATACTATGCTCTGTGCTGCCATCTTTCCTTTACATGTTGCATTCTATTCTTTATGCAACCAATCCGCTAGTTCTAATTGACAAAAGATAGTCATTCTTGCTTCTTTTGTGTCAAATAATTCTTATTTCTCGATCAATATTTAAATATTGGAATCGTTGACTCCAATATTCATTTCAGATTGAGTACAACTAATTCTTCAACTCAACATCATAATTTTGATTTTGAAACAAAGTTTACGATAGATTTTCTCTTATATCATTTTCTTTTTTTTATTCGATTATTTCCAGTTACTTTTTTAACATTTATCTTACTTTTTTGAATTTTCAGATGAATTCTAATAGTCCAAAATCCATCAAGTTTATTAACAATAATGACGTGTACTTATTTTCTGTTGGTCAACGTGTCTCAATAGAGACACTCTGTCGTTCACTAAAAAGTCGCTTCGATCTACCACCTCAATTCATTTTACATTTTATCAACACTGAAACAAATGCAGAACTCATTCCAGGTGTAATTGGTGATTTTTTCTACGATTCGTCAACTTCAATTCCAACTTATGAAGTTATTCCTGACAATGGTAAGAAATCAGTTTTTTGTCTTAGATTTCAACAACTCAATTGATTTAATGTCAATAGATATATTTTGAAGAGATTTTTCTCTATTCAAAACACAACTATACTATCATTTGCGCTTCAAAACGATAAGTTCGAAATAACTTTTACCTAGAAAGGTGAAATTTTGAATTTTCAAGTTTATGAACTCGACCATTTTGTCTATTTTATATAGTTAAGATTGAAATAGTAGAAATTTGTAACTGATAATGTTCTCTGTCTAATAAGATCTCTTTCGACTAAAACAATGCAGTCATTCCTACGATAATAGTAAACTACTCAATATACTGATTCTTATTGATTAAGAGTGTCAAAAAATGCAATCTTTTAACTTGTTTTAACTACCATTGTTTTTAGTTAAAATCGAATGATCTAATATTTTAGATTTAGTTTTAGTTTCATTCGATATTTCATTTGAGAATGCGAAACTGAAAAATTAAAAATATTTTCTTGATTGTCATATGACATGCCTTTTCATAAAAATATTAATGAAAATACTACTGAATAAAGTTCACTAAATAGTTTCACCAGGTTAAAAATGCTGACAATTCTGTAATATTAGAGGTGTAGAACAAGTAGTGC